ATGACGTCATTTGTAGCTTATTTTTGTATTTACGCTTTTTTAACGCTAGACCTTAGTCAATTTATAAAAATTCATTTCTTATTTTTTCTTTTGACTGAGAATCATATCTGACATCTCATTTGTGCGAAGCATACACTTACGGTGTACCATGGAGATTTTGAATGCCATCAATTCATTATTTTTTGATCGAAATTTATGTACGTAAATGTTATCATGTTATAGTTTATTCAAATGACACTAAAAGCTGTCTATTCCATTCTGAGTTGACCCAATATTAAGCTCATGAACTCTTATGTTCAACCGTTATGATCCGGCACAAGGGACTAGATTTAGCGGAAGCATTATTAAGTGAATTAAAGATTATCTTATCTTAATTTTGTTCAGAACATTTGAATATTATAATTAAAATGGAAAATGTTATACATCTATAATATACGCAGGCTAAATACATTAAACATATTTATAATATAATTGAGATCTTTATTTTTCTCTATTCTGTATATAAATTAATCTAATTATGATATGAATCAATCCATCAAACAGATTGGATCATACGATAAACTATTAAGTAATGTATTAAATCCAAAACAATGACTGTTTATTTGTCGAGAACGATGTTCGTTTTAGACGTAGATTAGATATATTTGAATGTCATTGCTTAAAAACAAATCTTTATCATTTTATTTACGAGTTTTTTTTTATCTTATTTATGCAGACGAAGTTACGGGAATTATAAACATTAAACGATTGTCCAAGGTTAATTGGATGAAGTTCGACTAATTTTTAATCTGGTTTGGGTCCGAATGTCCTGGGAAGTACTGCCAGATGTTTATTACTTATTTACATTTTATGTCATTACTTATAAAAATAAGAATAACATTAAATAATTAAGGTGAAATAATACAAAAGGCGGTATTATGGCTAAGCACACTCTCCTAGACAGCTGTCGAATAGAGGACATTGGAAAAAAACTTAAAAGGTCATTCTGATTTTTAATAATATAGTTATAGAACAAGGCTGTTTGTGTAATTAATCTGCAAAAAATATTTGCAAATGCAAAAGGAACTACTTATTTATTTATAAATAAGTTTATAGACCAATTATATGATTTTATTTAATAATAAATAGCATTTTACCTCAGTCAATTTTAGGAAAAAAGATATCAATGTGAAGCCGCCATATCCACTGAATTTATAATACTCAGTTGCGTTTATTATTAGTTTTTTTTTTAATTGAAGCTAAACAGTATTAGTTTATGTTTCCTCAATTCTTGAATACATTGCCTACCTATTTCTGTTTGCCCAATGCTAGTTAGTCAACCAAAGAAAAGTAGAGAAAAACATCTCGTGTTAAGTCCTTCATATATACATATTATTACTGTGAATTAAAGTTTAAATAAATAAATAACAAAGTTTATAGTTTGTGGCATAAGCGTAACACTGAAACACTGCAAATATCATGTCGCGGTGGTACGTGCGCTTCGCAGATAACCGTCGTATACGTGAGGTGGCTTATATGACCCGCCAGATGGAAATAGATTAGCGTTTCATTCGCGGGTATTATCAGACGTAATAATATTTATTCGGGAAGGGATTGTTAGTAATGCGGACTACCAGTCCCATTGCTAGCAATATACCTTGTCAGGTCGACCTCCACGTGGTCCTCCCTGGAAACTATTGTGCTGAATACCAGGTGTATTCATCACGAGGGGCTAACTGACCTGCCTTTTCATTCTCACCTGTCATCCATTGCCATTGCCAACAGATTGCCATTCCATTATCACCCATTAAAAAGAAAATATTCTTAAAATGTTTGTATTACTATTTTTTTATCACAGCAAGATGACACAAGCGTATACTCTACCTGATGTCAAGTGATTACAGTAGTCTATACACGCTTGTAATATTAGAGCAATTACTCGCGCGTTGCCAACTCTGAAGAAATTTTATTAAGATTTGTATAAATAAATTTTTTTATTAAAAAAATAGTATGAGACTACCACAGGAGTAAAGCTAATCATTTGCAAATACAGTGTATTACGTAAAGAGATTTATTTTTTATTTTTCTTCTATTGTTTCTGAATTACCTACTACTTTGAATAATATCAATAAAATTAGTAATAAGTATTTATTAACAAAATAATGTATCCTTTAATTTGTATTACCAAATTATTAATTTATAAAAACAAAACCGAATTATCGCGTGTGGATATAAAACAACATAACCCCTAATTTGCACATTGACGGTCACAAATGTCATAAAACTCGTCACAAACTCGTACAATATAATAATTTCAATTTATTCTAATGCTAAGTGACAGAAATATATTATGTATATTAACAAAAGCAATTTCGCTAAAAGACAGAAGGTACTGTCATCCCGCCGTCAGCAATGAATACTGAGCAGTCACTGACAAGCCGCAAAACTCCCCTTCAATATTAGACATATTATTTTCGCCACAATGCCGCGACTAGAAGTGATACAGGGACTGGGATCTTTTAATTATCTTAAGTAACGTAACGAAGATTTTGAATGCTAAATTGTTCAGCTTCGTATTTCAGATGCAAAGTATATAATATTGCATTTTATAAGTGCAATTTATTATTTATTAATTACGTTCACAAAAAGATTTATAATACTTTTTTTAACTGACTGCCAAATGTTGACAGGCTTTTCTATTAGACTGCATTTGTTTAAGCTAAAATGAAATAAAAAGCGTTTATAAAAAAGTTACATGATATCTGTCGATATCGGAGCAATTGAATTAAGTAGGATCAAAATGAAATCCACAGAAATGAATGAAGATGGACAACCCCCCACTAGATGGAGTGACAATTTCAAACGCATTGCAGGGAGTCAATGGATGCAGATGGCTCAGGACCGTTCCTTATGGTAGTCTATGGGTCTTATGTTTAGCTGTGGGTGGATAATGGCTAAGATGATGAAATTCACCTCAATTAGCCTTTACTTTATATTATATATCATAAGTCAAATGGCACTGTGCTATATTTAATGCAATATTTTACGCCCATTTAGTCTAAAATTAATTTGTTCTTAATTAAGATATATTTGTTTTTCTAGAACAAAGTAGTATAGTATTATAATAATTTGTAGTTACACCGTTCTTTGTTTAACGGGAACACAGGGCCGCGTCGGTGTAGCGGAAAATTAAAAAGGCAATTTTCTTAATGCGACCACTCGCAGTGAAGGGTTGAACATTAGACGATCACATGTGCGTTTGTACGTACCTACTCACTTATACGACTTTCTACCATAGTTTCTATGTAATTACGACACGACTAATTTATTCTATTACGGGTCTTCACCTTTAAAAATAGGTACATAACCTACTAGTTAATGACTACGCGGCTACACCTTTTTATGCAATGGCGTACATTAGCGAATCTGTCTACTTAGTAAACGCTTAATTTGTGTTTCAAGTATTTTCCAGTACATTGCTCGGACTAAAACTTAAGCTGTGTAAATTTAAAAATAATTTTACTCAATGCTCTTTTACTTTATATCATAAATAACATAATACACACAGCGTAAGAAAAAAACGTATTTGAACATATTTGATAAAAAGGGACTATGATAATATATATAAAACAACTTTTTAATTCAAAAATTGCAAATGTCAAATAAAATCTTGTATAAATTATATACTTTAACTATAGGTAAGACAATTGACTCATATCTAAAAAAAAATAAACAGAAAATACATAGCACGCGACATTGACTTGCTCTTGAGCCAATTTATAGACATAGATAAGGTTTACTATTAAATAAAATACATAATTTGTACCTATCACATTCTTATCGCCTATATATGATTACTAAAACACTATTCATATGAACATTTTCATATTAAGTGAGCCGTTCTACATAATTATGAACAATAATGTATATAAATACACCTAATAAGATCGTGATAGCCAAGTAAAATGGCAACATACAAAATCAAATTACACGAACTTGCTTCCTACACAGTGTGAGTAGGTGTCGATAATGGTGGGGCGTAGATAATGCCATATTCATAAATTCCTTTATACTTAGTAAGGTAAAACAATATTGCTTAATGTTTATAATAATGACATTGCCGTAAGGTTATCTCGGAATACATTTTACAACAATCTCGCCTTTTTTCCACGACGAGCGAAAAGTATTGTTAATGGTTCCATTAAATAAGTGACTTCCACAATCTTAAATTGCCATCACTTGTATAAATTTCAGATAATTTTAAATAGATATCCTTAATATTTACCCCTGAAAAATTATTTTTTATTTTAGAACTGTGATAACGACTAACAGTATGCTTGTCTGCCGTTAAAATTATCACAAGCTGTATCCTACGGTATTACTCATATACTTACGTGTTAATCTAGGAGATAGTCCATGTATGTAGCAAATTTCACTCTTGATCTTAATATGTAGTAAATTAATTAATGTAAACAATTAGTTAATTGTTTACATAATATGTAATCAACAGCCATACAAATTTGCACATTTATAATATTATTATGTCCTATAATAATTATAATTATTGATATCACTTACAATTTATACATAACAAGAAATAAAGTAATATAATTTCCTTTTTAAATTATAGCTTCATGCCCTAATCCATAGATTAATCACCATTCTCCTTCGTAGTACAAACAATTGGTTAATTTACATAAAAGAAAGCGTTTAATTCGGTTAAGCTCTGTGGTTAATCACTGGTTTAAACTAACTAAGCTTCTCTTGGTCATTTGTACCCGTCGAGCCAATAATTAAGTCAGACAGGGCAAGCGATGTAAACGGTTAACTGCCTTCTAAATAACAGAATAATGAGAAGAGTAACCGGATTTCAAAAGGTTAAGAGTAATGTTTACGCGTTGCTCGTGTTTTAGACTAGTTAATTGATGGAGTTAATTAAGTACATACTGCTGCAACCTAGCATTTACATATGAACGTTACGTTAATACGAAGCAATTAAACCACATGTCTTGAAGACTCACATAAAAGAAGGTTCTTCCAACTGCCGCCGAGAGCGCGGATGCAGCGATGTAGTCGAGGCATGGGTGCAGCAGGCGGAGCCCGGGCGGTTTGAATCCTCACGTCACCTTCAGATGAACTTCTAGTTAGTAGAGATGAGCCTCTATCTCTAGACAATGACCTTCGTCTCCCAAAAGGTGCACCTCTGACAGTTGCGAAATTTTCCTCACACGTGACATTGAAAGTGTCTAGCGGTATTCCTTCAGACTCTCTTCGGCTCCGAACAGAGAAAGTTCTTCTGAACCCATACGCGAGACCCTCAATAGTTTTTCTCTTCGGCTTTTGTATCTCTTCAGAGCTAATGACAGTAATGTCATCTAGATTCTTTGTATCGTACGTTCTGTACATTTTAGGTTGTTCTATTCCAGTCAAATCCTCTATGCCACCATGACGGTACCTCAAAGGTCTAGCGCGATCTATTGTACCGAGTTCGTCATAACTCCTGTACGTGGATGACACTCTTCGGGGAGCGGGAGGTCGACCAGCTCTATCTATCGTCATTGTAAATGGATGGCCAATATTTAGCGGATACCTGATAAAGAAATGACGTGATTAAAGATACATATAGCAAGGACACTCATGATCCTGGCTTGTATCGATATCTTGTGAATACATTTTATTGTCTCTTCATTTATTTACTCATCAAAAATTTCAAGAAGAAACTAAGGCAAAAATATTAATATAGACCTTAATGTCTGTTTCTTTTTGTTTAGACATAGATTCATCAAATAATTCGTGAACAATATTTATGTGTGACCCAAGTTACAACAGTTAGCCCAGTGTTTTATTTGCGTGTATGACAAACATTTAGCATAGCTATGTCGTGACTTGTCCAAGTTGTGCAGTAACATCGTAATAAAATTTGTTTACCATTACCGTATAGCGCGATAAAGGCAAATCTATCGATGTATACACGAATACTGATGTATTAGAATAATACTACAGTACGAATAATACAAAATTTCTACAGCTATTTGATTTATAATCCTTAATTAACATAGATATAGCTGTGAGGTTATTTTTAATAAACTTATTTTGTTACAGAAATAAATATGTTCATTATAATTACAACAATATGAATATCAGACAAGGATTTCGGCGAATAAAATCATCGAAAATGATTATTCGTTTAAAACCAGTACTAAGAAATAAAAGTGACCAGTGCAATACTGAGGCAATCCTATTTATTGGCTTGGAGTGAGATAACATAGGCTTGAATTAAATAACTTGATATGTCACTTTATTTTTATAACTCAGAACTTTATTTTACATATTCGATCCTATAGGTGCATTAATATCAAAACGATAAAGATACTAGAAACACTGCTATTATTTGCTGGAGGATTCCCAGATCAATATTTTTTAATAACCCATTTATGGTACAATCTACTGCTAGGCACACGTCTTTTCCTACTAGAGAAGTATACACACTTAGGCATAAAGATAAATATAATTATCGAAATGTTATCGCACAGAGCAATGTATAGTAGTGAGTATAAAAGACAATATTGCACTAATGGATATTTTTAATTTTAAAAACAAAGAAGCGGGCAATACCGTTTAAAGAGCCACTCCGGAACAGTATTTGAACTTCACTTAGGCTACTCGACCGCGGACTCAAGTGGCTAATCGTTGGCGAGCAATTACGTACAATTGCATTCTACTTTTGTTCTTGGCTGTACCGAAAGAGACGTTAAGTAGAATTCCGACAATTATCGGATTAGCAGCTTCCTGAATTGTGAAAAACGGATTTGTCCCCAATGAAGTTATTGTTTGCATCCTTTCTTAATTAAGTGATTATTTTGTGTGATATTGTGTACTCAATTTGGTTTTTATAACTGTAAAGACTTTGTTTATTTTAATTCAATTTTTTTTTGTTATGGTATACATTCTAATAAAATGTACTAGTACCACATTTAAAATTTTTAAGGTTTAATGTTTTTTAAGCAACTTGAAACAAGGTTCATTTGATGGAAAATGGTAACCATCTGGTAAACATCTTGTTCGAACAATGTATAATTTCTATGATTTGATTATTGATTTGATCATTATTAATTATGTACTTCTATTTTTCTGACATAAAATTTATAAATCTTGTGCAAATTTACAAATCTTTATGATAAATTTCTAGTGATAATAACGTAAATGGGGTAATAAGAAACTAAATATAATTATTATTTTCCCGCAGTGGCTTTTGTTGAAAGGAAAGAAATTGGTCCAATGTTATAAAGTTCGGGATTTAACAGTCGATACACATTCACTGTGGACATCCCTTTTTCAACTAACTACAAAACGAAGTAAGTTTTCTAAAATAATATATCTAAATCTTCTAATACTTTAGAAATTTTACCAAGATCAGTTCAGTAGTTTAGTTTTTAAATAAAATTATCTAGTTTTGTCACAATTGAAGTCGGTTTTTTTTGTGGAATACTATTTAATTATTTAATCCAAAGAAGGAATAAAAAAGGGGAAAAATTAAAACTCAACTAAAATAATTATAAAGAAAACAATAAACAGTGTGCAGTAATGCGAGACTATAAAAACTGCTCCCGAAATGCACCACGCGTAACGTCACAATCGTTATCATCAATAATTCGAAATCTAAAATAACCAAGAAAAAGTTTAAAACCGCACGCGTATTAAAAAAATAATCAACGTCCAAAAGTTCGATCGAATGTTTTATTTGGTGAAATTTGTTTTACAACTTAAAATTTCACTCAGTATCCGGTAATGAAAGTGATTGATACCGAGCAAAAAGGTTTTAGAAAAAAAACCGTAAAGCAGCTGTGTTTGCATGGCTGTGTTTCGGTTGGAAGGGTGGGATATGGGGTGAATTTACTGGTTACGGAGGAATAACATCTGAGTCCTCAGGAATGGCAACGCATGGGACCCCCCATCATGGGCGAAACAGTATACTCTGTTATGTCCATGGTACTGCTCATGTCTATAGGCGACGGTTACCACTTTCCATCAGATGGGTCGTCAGCTTGTTTGCCATTATAAGTTGTATAAAAAAAAAAGAAAAAAAAAATAGAATTGGAAATCTTATCGTAAATAAGCCCTTAGGAAACTGTTTTGTAAATTATATAATAGTTACCTACTTTGTATGATCCGAATCTATATTTGATTGCATTATAATCGGAGCCGAATGTTAGACAGTAATAACAAAATTTATTTACATAAACCCAAAGAGTATGCCAGTAATAGCTAAAGGGTTTCGTAGCTAAATTTAGTCTCAAAGTGCCACTTAAAAGACTAAACAAATCAAAATGAAGGACGTGTTTTAAACAATGTTTCTGTAACGGATATGTAGTTTTAGATCCTTTGATATTCTTTTGTGAAATATTTAAAAGCTGGTAATTGAAACTACAGTACTTATTATGTAATAATAAATATTATATCACCATAACAAGTATTAGATCTTTAAATATATGACGAAATCTTGCATACTTACTCTATTTATTTTTATTCATATATTTTTTTTATCTATCATACTAAGATTTTATTGATCTCATTTATAGAAATTAATACTTTTAGGTTTCTTTTTGTAATCTCTTCGTTGTTTCATTTCGTTAACTTCTAACTTTCTTCTAAAAAATTACAGAGATATTACGAGATGGCTATTTACCTGCCCATGTGTTTAACAAGTTTAAGTTAGAAATATTAAAACTGCAGCGTATTTTATTTTATCAAACAGTTATTACTTAAAAGTTGAATAATATTTTTAATATTAGTATGAAATATCTTGAAATAATACTAACAAGGCAATAATTAAAATATGTCCATATAGACTAGCCGATCAATGACCTCACAAAGGTTTTTCTTAATATTGTAAATGCGAAAGTAATTTGATATATTATGTTATACATACATACAACTCAGAATATTAAGGTTATACTACCCGAAGGATCATCTATAAAAATGGAATAATCTTGATTTGGGACATACTAGAGAGATAAAGAAAACAGTAGATGCTTATAATAATGTAGACGTATTGAATGTTGGGTAACCGTATGTGATCCAAATATGGTAGCGCATGCACTCGAGGAGGCTGGGGATGGCGCATATTGTTCGATATTCATTTGTTTTCTATATAAGGCTGAACAACTTCCCAGTTCACGTCTTGTAAATTGTAACAATACGAAGATATTTAATAAAATAATAAGCAATAGTTGTTGCCATCATTAAATTATCAGTCAGTAGAAATAAATTTGCATATATCTGTGTCATAAAACCTAGCAAATTTTGCAGTTTCCTACACAAGCATTCCTTACACTTTCGATTGGGTCAAAGTAATAATTAAAATTTATCCATACAGGACATTTTTAGTTACATTCTTTTTGTTAGTCTAGTTGTATATATTTTTTAAATGAATTCAACCAATAATAATACCGTACAATTATAGTTCAACAATACATTACAATAATATAAATTCACAGGGATTTATAACTTCGACATAGTTGTGGCTGATCAAGATCAAGGTAAACGGAGCTGAAGTAGTAGTATAAACATTTTGCAATTTGAATAACAGATGTTGAAATTGTTGAACAAATAAATTGTAAATATACCAGAACTAAGTAGGTATTATTCTAGAAATTTGGGATAGTTTGTAAAGTACATAGTTACAGATCAAAGTATAGATTTGAATCTTCGATATCAGAATTACTAATTAAAGTGCTACAGCGCTATATGGTACGTTTGGTTTTAATTTAATATATTTTATTTTAGGATTCATTACTGGATTAAAATGTATGTTCACCATAAACTGATAATTAATCGACTTTGAGTTCTGAATTTTCAATGTGAAACTCCTGTAATTTATTCGTTTTTAATTAGATATTTAATATCATTAAATTAATCATATTACTATGTTTGATTATTAATAATTATTTTTATAGTGAAAATTGACTATGTACCTACAACGATACCATGAGATTAGAAATATCCTCATTTTCATTTTGAAAATAAATAGTAGATGATATATGTATGTATAAGAATATATTTATCGATATTGGTTAATGACCTTGTTTCCTGAGTTCTATCGAGGTTCAATGTAAATTATTACAATTAACAAAGAACAATTGACATTATCAACATTATAGGAACATAAAGACATCGAGTAGTTACACTCAATAAAATTATTATCACGTAATTCGCGAACACTTACTTGATGTTTCTCAGCAAAACAATGATGTAACGTAATTATTATTTCAGTCAGCAATGATGTAATCAAAACTTTTTAGATTGTAGTTGTGACCGTGACTTCTATCAGGATGCAACAGGATTTCATTAACAGCAATGAGAAAATCGTGGTAATAAAGAATGTAATAATTAAAAACTCTTTCCTATTTTTTTTTTAAACTTAACTAATAAGCGAGCGAACTAAAAATAAAATTTATTTCAACACTTGCAAACTATTGTAAAAGAAAAAATAAACTATTATAGAGTGCAAAATCTGAAAGTCATTCAGAAATTATATCCTTCAATAAGAATATAAATGATCTATTGTACCTCAAAACGATTATATGTAAT